ACTAGAAGGATGTGCAGCTATGACAGACAACTATGTACTGGGGCTTTGGGGGAAAAATAAATAAATAAAATCTTTAAAAAAAAAAAAAAAATACTGTGGGGAAAATAAATCAAGGAAGATGTAGAGAGGTATATGTGTGTGTGTTTGAGTATCAGATACGGTAGTTAGAGACAAGTTCATTGAGAAGAAATATTTGAACAAAGACATGAAAGGGATGAGGGAGTGAGCCTTGTGGATATCTGGGGAAGATTGCATTCCAGAGGGAACAGCAAGTGCAAATACCTGAGGCAGAGTGTGCCTGGAGTGGTTGAGGCAGAGGGTATGAGTAGATAAAGAGTAGAAAACACGGTAAAGAGGTAGTTTTTATCAGCTATCCTGTTTTTACGTTCCAAAAGTTATCTGTCGTTTTGAAAGTCTCATTTTATAGCATCTTATTATTGTTTCATGGATGAAATATCTTCCCTCTTGTCTCTGAGGGACTGTTTGGTTATTTTAAGTTTCTTTCTGCTCTCTACATTTCCCTGCTTCCTCTGACTTCCCTTTTTTCTGTTTGTTTGCTTGGTTTATTCTCTTTTATATTCAGGCTTTCCTCATACGACTTTTATTCTTATTAAAGAGAAGGTACTAAAATGCTGACTGGTAGCTGTATGAAGAGTGGGGGCAAGGCAAGGAGTTCAATTTTTCATTTGAGGATCGATCATTCCCAACTGCCAGTGTCTGTGTGTCTTTTCCTTTGGACTGCTCAATTTCCCCTGAGGAATCCTCCCATCTCTGGCTTAGTGAGTATGAGCCAGGCTGTCAGGGTTTTGAGACCAAGCAGGGAAGGGGCCATATAGCCTCTTGCTGGCTCTCCCCTTTGCAGGCTTACAATACCAGTTCCTCCTGTCTGCTAAATCAGTTATCACTAGATTATCCATTTTCCAGCTTCTAAAATCTAAAATCATATCATTTTAATAATTTTAAACATATTTGTTTATAGTCTTTTCACACTGCTACTATTAATCTGAACTTCTTTTGGGCCTAGTCCTTCTGTTTGTTATTTGTGCTCTTACTCACCGTAGATTATTTCCTCAAGTGTAATATAAATTTTCCGCATAAAAACCACCGAGAAGCACTTTGTCTTTGGGAATCCCATGGGGCCAGCTGTGGGAGTGTTCCTCCAAAGTGTTTGTCTTTGTTTCTGGTAGGCAACCCACGGGTTTTGTGCTGTGGGGTCCCCAGTAAATATGGATAGTATAAATATACACCAGTCAAAAATATATCAGTGTTTTCTCAGAGGAGATTGTTTCCCCCACCCAGATCCCAGGCAAGCTTATTACTCACATGGAAGGATTTCCTGTCACTGAGTTACCGTCTTTCAATTCTATGCCAGAGCCTCAGGTTGACATCACAACTTGTGCTTCCTGACTCAATCTCCCATGACACTGGGTCCTATAACCTCCCAAGGCAACCACCAATAAGCTAGTTTGTTGTAACAAGAAGGCTCTCAGATTCACTTTCTAAAACAAATAGCATCTAAACAAAAATGTTTCTTTAATAAAATTATGAAGTTCAACGCAATTTCTTAATAAAAAAAGAAAATCACATATTGTAAATGTCTTAATCACAAAGCACACAGCCATGGGTTTTGTTTGGTTTCTTTACCTTGTTCCATTCTCTTCATTAGCTGTATCTGATCGACTGTCTTCTTCAAAATCTTGCATTTGTCTGGTTTTACACTCAAGCTGTCAATGTCACTGATGTTGGCAGACAATAACTCAGCTAGCTCTTCTAAATATTTATTTTCTTGCTCCCTGCGCCTCTTTTCAGTGCTGTTACACAAAGAAAATCCAGTTAGTGTACCTTTCTACTACCATATTTCATTCTCTGATCAAGTATTTAATGTTTACACATTTAGAGAGAGCTCTATTTTTATCCAGAATATAAAACCAGATTTAGAAAACAATTTAAATTTACACCTAAAAAAACAGATACTATAAAATACCAAAGCACAGAAAACAATTCTGGCTACAATACATAAAGAGAATGACTGCTATCACTGATGTATTTCCTCAATGATGTATATACATTGAATATTTCATAATCAATGAACACTAGACATTAAAAGGAAGCAGACAGTACATATACTAGCTGTATTTGGAATTATTTTATGTTCTAAATAATAACTCCTTGAAATAGAAAATACGAATTTTCAAATAACTTTGTTATAAATTAAGCAGGGCACAGGATACTAGAATTCAAATGAGTTATAATTAGAAATCTGATAAACTTGATTCTTATAATGATTAGATTATTAGTGGGTCCTCCTCAAAAAGAAAAAAGTATCCATCCAAAAAGTAAAATAAAAAGAACAATAAATCAATAATTATTTATTATTTTTTTAATAATTTTATTTTATTTATTTTTTCCCCCCAAATCCCCAGTAGATAGTTGTATGTCATAGGTGCACATCCTTCTAGCTGCTGTATGTGGGACGCGGCCTCAGCGTGGCCGGAGAAGCAGTGCCTTGGTGCGTGCCCGGGATCCGAACCCGGGCCGCCAGCAGCGGAGCTGGAGCACTTAACCGCTAAGCCACGGGGCCGGCCCTAAATCAATAATTAAAGACAGTGTCTTTTATATACAACTTTGTTCTAAATAGAAAAAAATCATCTACTTATAAGTTCTCATAAATGTAATAAATAAAATCAAATTCGATTTATCTTAAAGCAAAATAACGAGAGCAAGGAACAATAAGCAAACAACTAGCACTTTACGTTCATTCAAATGTGCTGAATGAATATTGTTCATTTTTGTTTTCCTGTCTTTACCTCTGGCTTATTTAACCAAGTCATCAGGCCACTTGCTTTACGTAACACATACAAAGACAATGAAGTATTACTTTGAGATGAATTTTTCTGTTATCAAATGAACATAATAAGACTGACTGGTCACAAGTAGCTATTTGTTTTATAAGCAGCAATCAAAATCTTTTGGCTTCATATGAAAGTGGTAGAAAAAAGAGGTGAAAAGAGGGAAACATCAGTTGCTGAAAAGCTCATAATTGGCAATAATTACAATATCATTTACTTTTCTTGATTAAAAAAAGACTATAAAAGCAATAGCATTTACATAACAACATAGTAAGCTGAAAAGAACCAAGTCAACTAATCAAATGTATTTACCTACACAAAACAAGAAGCTGCTAAATGGTACACATCCCAAAACAAAACCAAATTTTAAAACTATAACAATTACACATTCTGTCTTTATCTTTTAAATCTTTCATTATTAAGGAATTAGTCTCATTTTACTTAGTAAAACTTTACCTTACAACTTCCACAGCAAGTATATGCAGCAAGATATTTTGACTAATTTCACACCAAGGCATTGAAAATGAGGCTTGAAGAAAATGAGTAACACACATTTTGACATACACAAGGTTTTAGAGAACTCCAGCTCTGCAACCTGAGAGTGTTCTGGATGACATCTGATTTTATGTTAGAGAAACTAATTGATACTAGATTTATTTAGTAGAGTCAGTCTGAAGTATGATCTGTTTAAATCTATGGGTCTAAATTTCAACATGAGTAAACTGGATTCACTTGGTGGGACTCCCAAATTTGTATTTGACATTAAGCTTTATGTAAAACTGAAGTGCTTGAAACCACTATAGAGTAACAGAAAAAGTAAAGTGACAGAATGGGCAGGATAGGCAGACAGAGAGGTGACAGAGGAAGCAAGAAGCTAAGAGTAATGAAATGGTGAGGTGTCTATAAAATGACTTAAGAATGAGACTAGGAAAATCACCATGAAATGAAGTAACTAGTCAGCAAGGATAGTAAATGAGAGCAGATATGTTCAAATAAAGTCAAAACTTAAGGAAGGATGGAAATGACAAAAAACTTCTACCTTAATGGAAAAGAAGACTTTCTTTATTACTTTGGGCCACCTACATTTCTCCTCTCACTAACCCACTTTATTTCCATTTATACTGCATACATACACTAACAGTTGTTAGTGCTACTATGAGTTAACTTCTTATGTATACTTTTTTCTTCAACTTACTAGTTTTCTCAACAAATGTTCCTATACTTACTATGTGCCAGATAAACACGTACTGTGTCCTAGGGATCCAGGAGTAGATTAGATGCAGCCCCCAATTAGTTGGGAAAACAAAGAAAAGCAACAGGCTGTTACAATATATGTGACAAGATTATAATGCTATAAAAGAACACAGAGATAGCACCTAGACCTAGAGAACGAGATGTCTAAACCTAGTGGTAGGGACAGACTGGTCTCCTGATAGAAAAAAACAGCTTTTTCAAAGGTATAAAGTAAGAGAGAAAACGTCAAGTTAAAGAACCTGTGAGTAGTTCAGTATGGCTGAACTACAGATGATAAGAAACAAAAGGACAACAGATGAGGTCTGGGCCAGATCACAAGGGCTCTTGCATGCCATGGTAAAGAACATGTATATTGCTTAAAAGTGCAAATTCAAACTTCTTCTCATTTAGTAGCTATGTAATCCTGGAGAAGTTACTTAACAGCAATTTAACTTCTCTAAACTTCTATTTCCTTATCTGTAAAACAGGGATAATGACGTTATTTACCTCCTAGGGTTTTGCGAAGATAAAAAAAGATGATACATTAAAATGCTTGACAGAGTTCCTCGCATATACTATTAGCTCAATAAATGTTATCTATTATCATCACTTTGATTATGACTATTTATTTTTCAGGGAAAGGGGGAGCCAGAGCCCAGAAGGGTTTAAGAAGAAGAATGAGTAGCATGACCAGATCTGTAAGCTCCTTGAAGATAGAAAATATGTCTCACACTTCACTTACAGCCTGACAACATCACGCACATGGTGGTGGTTGAATAGTAAGCATTTAATAAGCACCTGTTGAGCTGAATTGCAAATGTTAAACAAGCATAAGGCACCGCTACCCAGCATTTTAAGATTGGCATTTTAATCCTCATTCTCCTAGAAAAGTTAAGGAATGAAGAAGAGGTAACAGGAAGGAGATACGAGGCATTTCACCCCACCAAACAATTACTGAGAAATTCTCCTATCCGAGGCTCTTGTACACAGGGCTGGCAATACCCTGAGGTCTAACATAAGCTCTTTATGCTTAATGAGTTCACGATCTGTTTGAGGAAACAGTATATAATAACAAAACCAAAAGAAACATTACAAGGTGGTATTCATGCACAAGCTTAATCAGTTTCAAAATCACAAGTTTTTAGTTTACCATATCAAAAATATCACTTTATTAAAACCGAAGCCCATTACTTATAAACCTGAAAGAGATGATACTTTCAAATATTTTTAAAGCAAATATGCAAAGGTAATTATCTTTAAGACATCTAAGAAGAGAAAAATAAATTAAAATTTTGATATTTGTAATTATATGATTATGTACACAAAAAAAATCAAAGCGGATCTAGAGATAAGCTATTAAAACAGGAAAATGGAGAATAATGGATGTCATTATATGGGATCAATACTCCCAAATTATTAGCATGCCTATACATTAATAACTGCCAATTAGAAAATAAAATAGACAAAACAATATCACTCCTAAAAGCAATAAAACCTCTGTGGTACCCTGGCGTATATCTAACTAAAGATGGGCCAGACATTCATGGGGAAAATTATAAACTATCATTGAAAAACAGCAAAGACTTGAATAAATGAAAAGCCTTATATTCATAAATAAGAACACTCAAGAATCTAGATGTCAGTTCTCCCCAATTTAATCTATAAAAGTAAATGAAATTCTAATCCAAATCCCAGAAGGATTTCTTTAGGAGAAATTTAAAAAACTGATTCCAAAATCTATATGACAGTGCAAAGGGCCAAGAAGAGAGAAAATAATTTTGAAAAATAACAAGGAGAATAACTTGCCCCATCAAATACCAAGGTGATTGTTTTAGGAAAGTTGAGAACCAGATCCCTATCTATGCAGGAACGTGGTCTGTGATAAAGGTAACAGCACAAAAGCAGAGAAAGAATAGGGTCACAATCACTGATGTTCTATCTGGGGAAAAAAATTAAATTAGGTCTCTACATTATACCATACACAAAAATAAATTCCAAATTAATTAAAACTCTAAATATGCATTAGAAGAAAAATTATAAAAATACATTTAAGGCCTTGGAATAGAGGAAAAAATTTGTTAACAGGACCCCAAAAAAGCCGGACACATGAAAACCTGTGGTGCTAAAGTATGTCAACAGACATCATAAACAGAGTTAAACAGGCTGAGAGAAGATATTTGCATCAAAGAAATGCAAAAAAGATTAGTAACTAGAAAATTAAAAATACCTCTTACAAATAAAAAGGAAAAGAACAAACAACCCAGCAGGAATATGGGCAAAAGACACAACCAGGAAATTCACAGATGAGGAAAACATAATTGGCAATAAAAACAAAAATCATGATCAACTTATCTAGTTATCAGGGAAATGTACTTAAAACTATAACCCTACACTCATCAGATTGGCAAAATGCTAAAGTGAGCAGAGAATCGTGTGGGTAAGAATGTGAGAAAAGAGGAACTCTCAATGCTTGTCATTTGAAGAGCAATGTGGTAATTACCTAGTTAACATAAAACTACGCACAGACCCTAAAGAAACTCTTATGCATAAAACAGGACGTGTGTATGAGGATGTTCATTGCAGCGCTGGCTGTTAAGAGTGAAAATTTGTAACAAAGAGGTTGTGTATTTATAGAGAATGTCTATCCGTAGGGAAATGGATTTTTCAAATATTGTATATTCGAGTAATAGGACTGAATGAATCTGTGTATATTTATATCTCAAGATCCACGATGGAAAAAGTATACTGTATTAAAATATACACAGTATTATACAATTTATGTAAATTTAATAAACATTCTATATTGTTTATGAATACTTATATATATAATTACTAAAAATAGATTGGAGGAATTAATTGCAGATAAATCAATTTAATTATTTTGTTATTTTTATTTAAACAAGACTATGCAAATATGTTAAAATATTAACAAAATACTAACCATACAGCAAAATAGGACCAATTAATATATGTTGGTATACCTAGTTTCCTAGACTAGTTTCCTAGACTAGACTAGTGTCCTAGTCTTTATTCTTTTATAGATTCAAAAAATTTCCCCAAATAAAAAATTAAATGTAAATGGTAATAGTTTATTTATTCTTAAGTTTTCCTTTAAGAAGGACTGGCTTTATGTACAGATATAAACAAGAACATTAATGTTGACAACACAAATCTGGATTGTATCTTGATAGCAACATTCCTGCTAGCATCTGGACACTTACCTATGATTATGACTACTTAGGGTATCACCCCTCTATGAGAGTTCTCTGAACAGATTAAGAGAAATAGTCGCTTTTCTTTCTCCAGCCTGGAGTCCCGGCACTGTCCTGTTAAAATCCTTTCTTTTTCCCGCCACGAGAAAGAAGCATGTAATCAGAGGACAGAAGAGTCTTCTGTCGCTTTACTGTCTAGATCAGTGATTACCAACTGGCGGCTATACTGCTTTCCCCACCCCCAGAGGACATTCGATAGTGTTTGGAGACGTTTTTGGTTATCACAACTGCTATGACATTTTGGTTATCATAACTGATATAAAGATGCTACTGGCATCTACTGTGTAGAAGCCAGGGATACTGCTAAACATCCTACAACATAAAGGATAGCTCCCCACAACAAAGAATTATCTGGCTGACAATGTCAATAGCATGAAGGTTGAGAAATTTTACTCTAGATCCCAGAAGACGAATGGAATAAAATCCCCACTCTTTTCCTCTCAGATAGGAAGCTGTTCTTTTGATGTGATTGAGGTCCCTTCTCTATCTGGCATTTGTTAGAGTCTAAAGCAATAAGTGTCTTTCAGCCTATTTAAGGTGATCATATTTCTTATACAAACATTTAATTTCACAAATAATCATTCTTTAAAATCCTGATATTACAGCAATATATTTCTTAGTCCCACTAATACCACAATGTTCTAAAATAGCAGTTAAAGTATACAACAGATTTATTTATTCATTTGACAAATATCTACTATATACATGCCACATACTGTGCTAGGAACTAGGGATAAAATGGTGAGCAAGAACAGGCAAGATCATTACGAAATGGCAGCTTGGAGTGTAGTGGAGAAGTCAGGGATTTGTGAAATAATCACAAAACCTAGTAAAAACCTTATGGATGGGATTTTGGATGGGAGCTATAAAAATACATCTGGGGGCTGGCCCAGTGGTGCAGCGGTTAAGTGCGTGCGCTCCACTTCAGCAGCCGGAGGGTTCACATGTTTGGATCCCGGGCGCGCACTGATGCACCGCTTGTCAAGCCATGTTGTGGCGGCGTCCCATATAAAGTAGAGGAAGACAGGCACGGATGTCAGCCCAGGGCCAGTCTTCCTCAGCAAAAAGAGGAGGATTGACATGGATGTTAGCTCAGGGCTGATATTCCTCACACACACAAAAAAAACAAACATGTGAGACAGATACATAAATGGGGGAAATTTGACCTAATAGTTATGGAAGGAAGAGAAGGCTCTCTTTAAGGAACTAATAACTAAGCTGGCATCTGGAGAATGCACAGGTGTTGACTATAGGAAATCAAGAGGGAGCGAGCTAGATTGAGGGAGCAGCATGTATAAAGGCCCTGAAGAAGGAAGAGAACATCGTGAGTATGAGGGACTCAAAGCAGACCAGTAAACCTGGAGTAGATGAAACAAAAGCTCTAAAGTGGCAATGAAAATGATAAAGCAGCTCTGCCAGAAATAGACTAAGGAAAGGGTGTTCCTACCTTGATGCCAGTGTGTCACATGGCGATCCTTTTCTCTTATGTGAGTCTGGGTTAGCAGGGTCGGATGAACTGTCCCCAAGGCCACTCATGTTGAAAAACTTCACACCTAAAAAGGAAAGACAACAATAAGAAATCTACCCTGATGAACTTTCCAACCAGAAGGGAGGAGGAAGCTCCCTTCAGTTAGAAAATATCTAAGCAGTGTAGTCTCTCAGGGAATGGAAAAATCACAGCCATCGTAAAAGCAGCCACACCTCTACAAAAGCACAGGAGTCATCAGCTGTTCAGCGTTTCTACCCTGCCTTTTCTGCACCTATAAAATAAAATTAATAATCCTTAAGGAAACTGTAGAGATCAATTAGGATAAAAATATTGTTAGAATAATTAGATACTGAGATTTTTTTTCAAAGAGAAAAAAATCACTTTCGTATGCAAAGGTAAAAACTGAATGTATAACTGGGAGTCAGAGAAATTATTTTTTATATTTATTTATTTTAGACTTTACTTTGCAAAAGGATTTAAAACAACTTTTACTCAAAAGGTTTAGGATTTTATATTGATAGGAAAATAAATGATACATGTATGATTAAAGTTAAAGCGATGAACTAGATTTGGATTTTGAATTGCACTTACCAACTTTGAATTCTATACTCCTAACGTTGTGTTTAAGTAGTCAGGTAACAAAGATCAAATGGTTAGTCTATGTTAGGATCTTGGTATAGATGCCAGAGAACACAAAGTCATTTCCCCTAGCATGCCAGCCAGGTCTCCTCTCACATGTTGTGCCAGTTAGTGACTGCACTTAAAGATCCCTTCTGATCTGTCCCTATCAACCACTATTCTTTGTTAATCCCTAATGAAATTCAGAATCCTACCCCTGGCCTTATATTCATCACTACCTTTTGGATTTTTATTATTGTCAAACAACACACCTCTCCATTCTCTTTCACTCCGTCTACCCTTGTAAAAGGAGAATTAGTGCAGTTTTCTTCTTACCTTATTCTCAGTAGTTTTTGCCTAATTCTTGGGGTTTAGAATTCCTCATGGTTTTAACGTCCTAGGCCCCTCTTCCCTCATACTATACATTATTCTGGGGTGATATCACTCACTCAACATGGTTTCAAAAAATATCTCAATACTCATTACTCTCAAATCTCCATCTCTAGCCCAGATCAGACCCCAAATCCAACTCCTCACCAGATATCTCCATTTGGATGTCACACATGCATTTCAAACTCAAGTTTCCAAAATTACTTAACTTCTCCTCCTTATGTATTTTTTTCTCTCAGTTGGTATATTGGAGTCATTTTAGCCTCTTCTCTCATACCCCACATGCAGGCAAACACCAAGATTTGTCAATTTTTATTTCCTAAATATTTCTAAAATCCATCCCTTCCTCAAATTCTCCTCTCAACATCTCTCGCTAGACTATTGAAATAGCTTCCCAGATGGTCTCCCTAAGCCACCAGAGTAGGCTATCAAAAATGTAAGTCTGATCATGTCAATCTCTTGCTTACAACCCTTCAATAAGCCTCACTGCCCCCAGGACAACATTCAACCTCCTTAGTATAATATACAAAGTTGGCATCAGCTCTCACCTATTGTGTGTCTGTTACAGAATTTGGTGAATGAGTGACTAAACGCTTGTCCAATCAAGTATTTATAGATTATATATGTTTTATATTACATATTATTATATGTATTATATATTACATATATACAATCTATATATAAACAGATTATATGTGTTCTATACTACATATAACCTCTACATACAGTCACGCATCACTTAACGATGGGTATATGTTCTGAGAAATGGGTCATTAGGCGATTTTGTCGTTGTGCGAACATCATAGAATGTACTCACACAAACCTAGATGGTATAGCCTACTACAGACCTAGGCTATGTGGTACTAATCTTACGGGACCACCGTCGTATATGCAGTCCGTCGTTGACCAAAATGTCATTATGCGGTGCATGACTATACACATACATAGATTACATATGTTAATTTTAGTTTCAAGCCTAAGAAAAGACTTTAAAAATAAAATCCTTGGTAACATCCCATATTCCCAGCAAAGGTAAACACTAGTCAGAAAACTTTAAATTGATCTCAACATGGGTAGCCTAACTTAAGCTAGCGACAAATATTTATTGAGCTCCTACTATATGCCAGCCTCTGTTCTAGGTATGGGGATACAGCTGTGAATAAAATTTATAAAAATCACTCTCCTCATAGAACCTCATTCTTTTGTGAGGGACAGAGACAATAAATAAAATAAAAAAGTAAATTAGTAGAAGGTGATAAGTGCTATGGAGAAAAATAAAGCAAAAATAGAGGCTTAGGTGTGTGGAAGGGGAGGCGCAGCAATTTTAAGCAAGGTAGTTAGGAAAGGCCTCACTGAGAAGGTGAGATACGAGCAAAGACTTGAAGGAGGTGAAGGAGAGAGAATGGTATCTGGAGGAAGAGTTCTCCTGGCGAGGAAAAATGGAAGGGCTGTTAAGACCTTAAGGCCAGAACATAACTATGCTTTTGAGAAACATGAAAGGAATCAGTGTGGCTAGATCTGGGGAGTTAGGGAGTAGGAGATGGGTTAGCGAGATCACGGGAGGCTACACCATGTTAGGCCTTAAAAACTGCTTTAAGAACTTTAGCTTTACTCTGAGGGAATCAGGCAATCACTGGAGGGTTAAGAAGATCTGATTTTGGGGCTGGCCTGGTGGCGTAGTGGTTAAGTTCGCACACTCTGCTTCAGCAGCCTGGAGTTCGCATGTTCAGATCCCGAGCATGGACCAACATACCGCTTGTCAGGCCATGCTGTGGCAGCGTCCCAGATAAAGCAGAGGAAGATGGGCATGGGTGTTAGCCCAGGGCCAATCTTCCTCAGCAAAAAGAGGAAGACTGGCAACGGATATTAGCTCAGGACTAATCTTCCTCATAAAAAAAAAAAAAAGAAGAAGAAGATCTGATTTTCATTCTCTGACTTCTTCTATGAGGGATAAGTATAATCTTTCTCATCTCAGTAATTTGGTATTTAAGTTTCCAACTGCTAAATGGACTTTTCCATTTGGATATCCCCCTGTCACCTCAAACTCAACATGTATAAAACATGATGAACTTTAAGTTCCAGATTTCTATTAATGATAAATAAATGAGATGAGCTGCATTATGGATTAATGTCATCATAAAAAAAACATTTGTTAAACCTCTTCTGGGGGAAAGAGGAAGGACCTATGATAAAGAAAATAATTACAATTTAAGGTGGACAACCTCAATGCAAAGGCAAATATACCAGACTTGCAACAACTACCACCATAATAAAAAAGATGCTGAAAGATCCGACAATGGTTTTCTTAGCATCCGTTAGGAAACCCAAACACAAAACAAGAATAATCAGCTAAGTGATATATTACTGTAATAAATAAGACTGCTACCTTCTTTTCCTATGGAGATTCACAGAAGCATAAATGAGGTTGACCGAATACCACAGAAGTAAAGAAGCCACTTAATTTTATTTTCACATAGAAATAAATGTAAATATTTTTAAATTTATTAATACAAAAAATGAAATTATGCAATACATTTATAATAATGAAGAAGCATCAACTCTAAACTTTTTTCAACAAAAGTAGAAATAAAAGACAGAGGGAAATGATGAACAGGGGAGAAAATGAAAGGTAAGAATTCAGAGTTTGCTAAAATCCAAAAGAAAAGAGTTAGCTAACTCCCACTTCATGCTGAGGGGTCACTTCTTGTTTCCTTAGCTGGCCATCTTCTCTGCCTCCAGAGACATTAGGTTATACCCATCTGAGAACTTACCCATCTGAATTCCACTGACTCTCAAAATACTCCAGGGCACATATTTCTTTTTATAATATGCTATAAAGTATAATTCTCGTTTGTCTCCCCTTCTAGACAGTTAACTCAAAGCTAGTTACCAGATCTTTTTACTGTATAGCCAATATCTAACATAATGCCTAAAAGATATAGAAGCTAAAATAGGTGATGAGTTAAAAAGGATTTATTTTACTAATGATGACATTTAAAAATTTTAAAGGATATTTAAAATTTATAGAACACATATAATCTGTTTATATATAGATTGTATATATGTAATTTAAATATCCACGGGGCCGGCCCCAGATTGGATAACTTTAAGCAAGAAATAAATCTGGATTTAAAAGGAGATCCCCCGGGCCGGCCCCGTGGCTTAGTGGTTAAGTGCGCGCGCTCCGCTGCTGGTGGCCCGGGTTCGGATCCCAGGTGTGCACCGACGCACCACTCCTCCGGCCACGCTGAGGCCGTGTCCCACATACAGCAACTAGAAGGATGTGCAGCTATGACAAACAACTATCTACTGGGACTTTTGGGGGAAAAATAAATAAATAAGATCTTTAAAAAAAAAAAAAAGGAGACTCCCCATACTGTGCTACCCTCAGACTACTGGCTAGAGATTGACATCTGCTAAATTTATCTGAGATTCTGGGGCTGAGGAGGCATCAGACAACAATTCAACAGCAGCCAGACAGAGTTTGGCCTACCAAAATAAGAGCCAAGAGTCAAGAAGCTATGACAGAGTCACCAACAATTTGCTGATGATATGATTCTGGTATTAACTCCTTTCTATTTACAAAACACAATAAACAGATAGTGGAATGCAAAACCTCTGATGAGTGAAAACTATTATAGCTGTTCTATTTGTGGAATGGCTTTATATTTGGCAGTAAGGGTATGTAAATAAGGTTCATTAAGAAAAGAAATGCTTGTTTCAGGAAACCAATTTGCATATCAGCTTTGAAAAAGAGGTAAGGTTTCTAAGTAAAAGTACCTTGTTGATTTAAAAAGAGTTGCTCAATTATACCCAAACAATCTCAAGTAATCTCTAGAGAGCAGTTTTAGGAACTAGGAACCATACCTATCTCTATTCAAAACGATCAGACTAAATCAAATAGGTGGGGCTGAAGAAATAGGTCAGGGCTTTATATTTCAGTTGAGTCAGAAATTTCTACATAAGAAATTTGTCATTCGTCTCCCAGATTTAGCTGAGCACTGCATAATTTGAAAAATCAGTAACCATTAGTTAAACAACTCTAATAATATACTT